ACACCTTTCTGTGCTTCCCTTCACATCCACAGAGCATCTGAGGAGGCTTTCCTGGCAGAGACGGACAGCAACAGCCCCGGGTCTGAATGGGAGAGAGTAGCTCGTCTCTGTGACTTCAATCCAAAAACCAACAAGCAGGCGAAGGATGTTTCCCGAATGCGCTCTGTGCTGATCTCTCTCAAACAGACACCTCTAGTTCGCTAGAGCATGTCGCTGGGGGGAGCTAGAAACATTGCCTTTTAATCTCACTTTGCATCAGAAGGATTTGTATTCCCTTTTGTGTACGAAAAACACCCTGGTATGTTTATAACCTTTAAACACTTCCTGCCTTTAACGATGCCTGTTAAGAGTCAAATAATATACTTAAACCTGTGAGAGGAGGGATTACTGTTACAACATCCTTTAGTTGGTCAGCTTCATCACTGCTATATTAAGAAAATATTGTTACTGTAAATTCAGTAATTTCCCTTTCTCCTTTAACTTATAAATTGTTACTAGGTCAACTTTATTGCATGCCTTCCTGATATTTTGGATGCACATTTTTAGTTGAATTTATAAATTAGCATTACGGTCAAACACTTAGCGATTAAGCACTGTTACAGATTAGATTGTAACCAGTTTTGCCTCATCAACTATAAACCATTAACCGAAGCACATTAATGTTCACTGTATTATATTATATCCCTAATTACTGTTTTTAAGTTAGCATATTTTTCACTATAACATACCCAAGCTCGTGGCCTTTTTTGATCAACCTCTTTCTACAATTTGAGCACTTAGCTGGATGAATTTCTCTTCAATTTGGCAAGATTTCAGCTAAATTAAGAAACATTGAACTACAACCAAAGATTTCATTGAAATTTTCAGAGTTCACACATTTTACGGCTTGTTTCTTATTTTGCTATATTATACCATTTTCTGTTACGCCAACAAATTTTAATTTTTTTTTTTTTAAAGAAATGATGCAGGGGGTCATTTACAACAGCGATGTCTTCACACTGTTTCACATGCTGCCTATTTGGATTTAAGGAATAGTGAAAAAGTGAATGTTAAAAGGGAACTGGAAAATAAAAACAGTGTAGTATGATCACTTCAAACGATTTGTCTTCAATTCTTAGCTGTGATAATTGCTTACTTATGCCCTTGTATTTTGACATACAAGCAACTTTGATAGGTGGTTCAAACAGAGCATCAGAATGGAGAAGAAAGGTGATTTAAGTGACTTTGAATGTGGCATGGTTGTTAGTGCTGGAGTGGCTGCTCTGGGTATTTCAGAAACTGCTGATCTACTGAGATTTCCCCACAAAAACAACTCTGAGGTTTACAGAGGATGACCAGAGTAGTTCAAGCTGATTGGAAGGCAACAGTAACCTGAATAACTGTTTGGTACAACCAAGGTATGCAGAAGAGCATCTCTGAATGCAGATCAGAAGACCACACCTGCTCTAGTCTCTGAGGAATGTTTCCAGCACCATATGTGCGACAAATAATTAAGGTAGCTCTAAAGTCAGTGCTAATATTATGACCACGTTTTGGTTATTTACAGATATTTTAAATCCTTTAAGCATAATTTTTTATACATATCATGCTTAACTTGGCTAGCACAATTCTGAGAGGTGACTTTATAAAGTGTATAATTTACACTATTACACTACACATAACACCTGAAGGTCTTCTTAGGAGGATTTTATTCTGTTGAGTGTTTTAAGGTGGACTTGGGCCTAACTCAAGTCATTAACAACGAATTTCCACACTCAAACACAAGATATGGTGCTTTATCTTAAATATGACACCAGGTTCAAATGTGACATTTTATTAGAATATAATAACAACAGTATGGGGGATACATTTGAAGCCGAGCTCACCAAATCAGCAAGAAAACAATTTACATTTATCAGCAATTTGCTTCAACACAATTTTAGTAGTGTTAAAGAAGTCCAGCCTGCTTACTGGTAACAAGCCGATTCAACCTTGCTGTTCCACACTGTCAGCAAGAAGAGAAAATAATCATTTTTTGTGAGTGATTCACAGTTTTTAAACAGCAATAAATAATGCTGACATTTACATATGTGTCTGAAGAATGTTAAAGACCCAATACATTATTCAGTTCATTTAAAGAAGTCCAGAGTCTGCTGCGATTCCACACACTGAATGGACAATGGCAGAGATGTGGGATCGATCCATTTCACTGCTTGGGTTTCAGAGCCGTGGCAAAAACACCAACAATAATGGCAACAACAGTGAAGCCTTGAGCAAAGATGCGTCCCCTCATCAAGAGCTGGGACTGTCTGGTTTTCCCTTGATGGAAGGCACGGAGACCATAAATCAGCGCTCCCGCTGTTCCCAAACAACCTGGAAAATAAAGAAATTATAGCTTATAAACCCAGTTTATTAGGACAGTTAACTGGATCCACAGACAAGGAAAAACTCATGGCTGAATAGTGTAACTAATATCAAGTAGAATGGGGTGATGGAGATATAAAAGCTGCACTTTCCTTTGGCACAGATACTTTTTAGTTATCAGGGTGGCTGCAGTCAACGGTAAAATAAAAGGAGACTGTTCATTTCTAACGACAGCATTATTGCTACAGATGTCAACAACAGATGACCTCAGCGTAAACAGCTTCTAAATTAGAATCTTAAACGCTTCAGGCAACACAAAACAAGAATCAGCAATAATATCATAGGCATCAATGGACTATATGTATGATTTTGGGAGTAACGATGAAAGAAAACAGCACAGGCTATTTTAATAAAGCACTCGTGAAGCAACAGTAAGTAGTATATCAGATACAGAATTGCGTAAATAACTGTTGACAGATGAACAAGAACGTGAGATACAGTCCAATTATATCCCAAACATGTTTGTCCGGTTTTACATTATCCACTTAAAACTGCTTTTAATACGCTTTGATGTATTGAAGGTTTTATTGTGCAGACCACGAGTTACAAAATATATGAAGAATGACCACAATGACCTCCGGGGGTTGAGAGGACGCTGCCGCACAGCTGGAGGAGCAGCTCCGGGAATATTTCCGGTACCGAAAGCAGATCGTTGGGAAATATGTCATAGGTTACGTTGATCTAGCCACACACCTCTGCTGTGTTATCAGCTGATATCGTGCCCACCACTCAACCAAGCCTTTATGTTTTATATTTAAGCGCTAACATAGTTGTGTGAAGTAGAGGACATAGCAGACCGCAGTTGTGACTTTACGGTGCAGCGCTTTTCTCCGCTTGTGTAACTCACCTATCGGGACGAATGGGTTCTCCTTGGTTTTCCTCGCAAACTTTTCCTTGAAAGTCTCATCTTTGACTTTAGGCAAAGGGTTGAAGCCTTCGATGTTTGGAGCCTGGGATAAATCAAACGGCACAGCTCTCTGCGGAGCTGCTCCGGGTGTTTGCTCTGCAACTCCGGGTGTTGCTGCTGCCGCCATGCTTACCTTGGGTATGACAACCAGGAAATCTCAAGAACTACATTTCCGGTTAAATTTTTCCACGGCTTCACAATAAAGGTCCAAATATTTTAAATAAATAAAAATAAAAAAAGAATGTGAATGCTGGTTACCTGCTGGAAACCTTGGTTAGAGAGGAATGCCTTGGACAAATTCATCAATCTTTCACTTCAGAAATATAAATTAGACTAAACACTGACCACGGCCTCTTAGTGCAGATATTCAAGTATTTTAGTATACAAGTATTTAAAATCATACCCAGCCGCAGCAATATTATGATATGTCTGCAATATTATGATCCAATATGTGATTGTGCGCAGTAAGTGCTTTTTCTTTTTACTTTAGAGTACACTTTATTGCAGCTTCTCAATGCACAACTTTCAACTCAAAGCTAAACTCTCCCCCCCACCTTTTTGCAGGTGTGTTAAATGTGCAGTTTTTAACTTTAACAGAAATTAAAAAGTCAGATTTGTTTTAGAATAAAGTTCAGCGGATGTTAAATTCAAATTAGGTCATTTACTGTCCAGTGATGTAACTGGATACTTACCACAATCAAGATTGAGGTTCTATATACACAGCAGGATGGTTCCATTTTGATAATAAAAATGTCATGACTTGTAATTACTTGAAATTGAATCCCATATTAAAAAAAAAAAAAAAAAAAAAAAAAAAGGTGGCCTAATAAATATTTGTAGCAACTGCTGGACGTTCTAATTTTCCTGAATGTGAGGTTTCACTTTCCAGTGGCACATTCCTTATGTGCTGTACAATACATCAATGAAACAGCTACACATTAAATCTAAACGAATCTTCAGGTGCCACATTTTATTTTAATCACAAATTGTTTGCTATAGGGAGGAAAGCTACGCGGTATATTGGGATTTTCACATAGCTCTCAATTTTTCACAAAATAAACCCCACTCTTACCACTGAGTGGCAGTATTGTACAACCTTCACTGATTCTCAAACATGAAATCACTTTTCCCCCCCTCAGTGAAGCACTTACCAGTAGAATGAAATACTTTAATGTCTGCCTAAGAAATCATGCAGTCAGGAAGCTTGAGCCCAAAGAGGAATAAAAAAAATCAAAATCTAGTGGAAAAAAAAAAAAAAAAAAAAAAAAAAAAAAAAAAAAAAAAAA